ACCACACCAAGCCCTCCATAACGGCCCCCTTCTACCTCACTGAGCTGCCTGCATCGCACAATTCCATTCCGCAGGCCTCGCCTCATCTTTTGCATGCCAACTCCTCCTGCTCCACCACCCAAGGACCAAGCACCGAACCGGCCGGACCTTCTCTGTAGCTGCCCCCTCCCTTCTGGGAACTTTTTTTTCATCAAACACATTCTGGTGACACTGTACCGACCACTTCCAACAATTCAAATCACTTGACAAAAACACACCTTTTTTTTAAAATTTGGCTTTTTTAATGTTTAGGGCCAGTCTGATGGTGTTTTTCAGTTGTTATTTACTATCTTTGGCATGTTTTTTTTTTGCTTGCTTTTTATGGTTTTATGGTTAAAGTGGTTTTGAGTATTATTTAGAAAAGCGCTTATAAATAAAATTTATTATTATTACAAAGTCCAAGATCTTTTATATAGCCTATAATCATACCAAGATATATAGTAAACAGAAAGAAAGACGTAATCAGATTACAGTTACATTTACTAAAATGTTTTGCTATTTTTGATGCTAAAATCTTGAAATGTTTTGTTTCCATCTTCTTTTCAAAGGTTACATTGTTCTATTGTTTTACATTTTACATTTGTATTAATGCCTATTGATATTTATTGTCTCTTGTTTTTATTTATATATTTGGTGTTGAGGTAATCCAAAAGCAACAGAAACTTGAAGGTTACTGACTACATTTTTAACAGGTAATTAGTATCGGATTACATTTTTGAAGTAACCCTGTCCAACCCTGCATGTGGCACTATTATGGGCTTATTTTCAGTTTATTTTGGAAAATAAATTTTACCTAAATAACATCATTTCACCAATTCTATTTTTTCCAGAAACCAGCAATATATTATTAATTTAATTAATTATTTTGGCAAAATCTTACATTCGTAAAATGACATTTTTGAAGAAATTACTATGTTAAATTAATTTTATTTTTTATTTAAACCTAGACACAGCTTGTGTTGTACTGTCCACAAATGTTTCTTCAATAAATAAAAATAAATAAAATAAAATGATCCGGATTCACCTTCCTCTGATCGCAGAACTGCCTTTAATGATGTAATTAACCGTTACTTTCCAGCCAATCAGAGCGCTCCTCCTCACTGCGCGGACCAATCAGAGAGCCGTGTGCACTGATGGAGCGAGACAGCGGCGGTTTACCTGCTCAGAGTGAAGAGAGCGGCACCGGAGCAGCAACCGGCAGCTTCTCGGTACTTTCTCTAACCGACCTTAAGTTTTAAAGTACCGGATGCACAGCCCGCAGCGGACCCCGAGGTTAACGTCCTAAAGACTCTACCAACCGCCGGTACCGACGTCATGGCCCGGACCGGCTCCGGTACCCTCCTCTCCCGCCCGAACATCAAACTGGACTCGTTCCTGAAGCGGAACACGGAGCGGACGGTGTACGAGCGGATCCGAGCCTACGAGCCGTGCGTGGTGATATCAGAGACCGTTAATAAGGTCTACATGCACGTGGTGCTGAGCGACGAGCGCGTGTACCTGACGGAGTACCCGCCGCGCACGCTCACTACAGCCTGCTGCTTCAGGCGCGTGCGCGACATCGAGCTGGTACGTTATTTTATTTTATTTTATTTTATTATTTTATTTTTATACATTTTATTTGTATTTTTATATATTTTATATATTCTATTTTTATTTCTATATATTTTATTTTTATATATTTTATTTTTGTTTTTATATATTTCTTTATTAACAGCAGGTCATTTTTCTCTATTTTCTTTATTTTTAAAATTTTATTTTTTATTAACAAACAGGTAAACAAATACACAAATCATATATTAGTTAACAAGAATGTTAACTAATTAATACATTTGAATAAAGTAAGTTAAGTTGTGTTTTTAGAGCAAAGGAGTGATGTAATGTATTGATTATATTATATTTATTTAAAAAAGAGCGTTTATGATTGAACATTATTGTTGGTTGAATCTGTTTCTCCTGTAAAAGATTAATAACTGTGGTCCATCCAGACCTGGACTGGAGGAAAATATACTAAATATCTTTGTTTCCCAGTATATTGTTTCTGATTTTACCCTTTGATAGGAACATTTATTGATTGGCTTTTTTAATTCAGTAGTATTATAATATAAATCAGTATCATATCATCAGTTTGGGCCTTCTTCTTCCCACATCCACAAATCTAAACTTTCCAATTATAAAGCATATTGTTTACATTTTTAAAGTGAAATCAGTGAATACATTAAATTACTCCCATACTGTAAAAATAACTTTATTTACTTTTACAATTTAACTATCATTTCTTTCTCCTGGCATTATATGTACTGTCTATGTTTACTAGTAAATAAAGTAAAAATAAATAAATGAGTTAGTTTAGGATGAAGATTAGAGCTGCACAATTAAATGAAATATTACCAGGAGTTAAAATGTGTGAAGCCGCTTTATATTGACGTTCTGTTGTTCTGTCCTGAATTATAAATCGTGTTCAGCAGATCGGAGAAAGTTTCTTTAGAGACCATAAAACATTCAGTTGGAATAGTTTTATCAGTGAAAGTCACTCACAGGATGATGTTCTTACCACATCCATGAGAACAGGATGTTAAAGCAGCAGGATCAAACTGAGGATATAATACTGATTTCTTTTGGTAGAAGAATGAGAATTAAAGCCAAACACGTTCATATAAAACAATATACTATAACTGTTCTATAATAAAAGCAGAAATATCGTTACATAAATGTCCTTTTTCTATCTTTATAACAATAAAAACACTGAATTATTAGAAAAGACTTCCTCAACCTCGTTTAAAATCTAATATTTTCCTCCAGTCGAGGTCTGAACTGAGGTTTTTCCACCACGTTTCTATTTTAATAAACTAAAAACAACAACAACACATCCATGGACGGACATTCGGACCAGAGGACTCGGCTGTGTCTAAATCAGCTCTTATATCACAGCAGTAACAGCAGCAGCAGCGTCCAGTGTGAAACTAATCAATCAATCAATCAATCAGTCCACTGATAAATAATCGACTGTAGGGCTGCAGCTAAGATTATTTCTATTCTCGGTTAATCTGCCAATTATTTAGTCGATGAACAGATTATTAATCGTCGGCTCTGAGACGTCAAGTGTCCATTGCAACAGACCTTTTTCACAGCAGCCGTTAGGACATGAGTTAGTCGGGTAAACACAGGTGTTCATCAATGAAAAAGCTGTGAAAAAGGTCCGTTTCCAGTCACATAACATCAGCTGATTATTGATGAACTGTTCTCTAGTTCCAGCCTCTCATTTAGCGCCCCCTGTGGACAAAAGCGCTCCTTGTTTCATTGATTTGAAGGGGACTCCGACCCGGTGGCAGACATTAAGAACTGTATAGAAACAGCTGATCTTCTCTGATGGTTGTTTCTGTAGGTTATCAGACTGTTAGAAACTCTGTCGTAGGGTTAAACAGAGAAAGTGAGCCACAGAACCACACAGCAGTACAGGTGGCCTCCTCGCTTTATTCTCACCTTTCTGGTTTTTAAAGCTTAAACGATATCAAAAGAGAGCAGAGGATGTTTCCTTAAAGCGCTGTACCTGTTTAATGCAGTAGAGCTCGATGTGTCCTGATGCTGCATTAATAAAATATAAGCAGCAGGGTCACCTTACAGTCAGCTGGCAGTGCAACCTTTAATGATCATAACACACAGTATGTGTGTTCAGCCTGCATCATTATTTTCAACATTAATTCATCTGTTGGATTGTTTGGTCCAAAAATATCCTCACAGGTTCAGGGCGATGTCTCTGAACGACCTGTGTCTGACAGTGTAAACGATATAAAGCAGATTATGTCTCATATTATTATATTGTATTATAAAATCTGACAGTTTCAAACACCTGTAATGTGTTTCTCTCATTAACTCTCAGATTAGATGAGTAACTGGGTGATTATAATAGATTCAGTGTGATTGCTACGTAATGAAACCCTTCATAAGATGTATTATCTAAAAGAGAAGCGGTGTGTTGTAGTCTCTAAGCACGGGCTTCATCTTGTTATGTCACAAAGGTCTGAGGTCAAAGGTTTAACTGCTCCCTCAGAGTTAATCTGCATTAAACCATCAGATTATCGGCTGTGTTCAACTGTTTGCCCTCAGTGTGGATTCAGCAGGTGTTTAGTTTTTATAAAGACATTAAAGTCAACATGGCGGACTCCGCCAGAAGAGGACCGGCTCCCTCTGTAGATAAAACGTCTCCTTATAAGATAACAAAAACACTGATTCTTATATTCAGATGATTATAAACTAATGAAAACATACATATGGATAT